ATTCCCCGTTTTAGTATAATATAATTTTGGAGCGTTTGAGAAAAATCGGAAATTGAGGACCATAGCCAAATTTTCTTATTGTTTTCTTAATTTATATGATGTAAATTTGCAAGAAATCGAGTACAGAAGACTAGGGACATTGGATTTTTAGGAATTGTGGACGAAATCGTTCACAAGATCCGTTTTCAATGAAGTTTGGAGGTATTGTCATATAAGACACGGGATATATGGGATTTTTCGTAGTTATGGACGGAAACATACACATTGCCATCTTCTATATTTTTCTCGAGATTAAGTTTTTGCTTGGCTCCTAAATTATTTGATTGATAAATTGATTAGTCTGAATATGTGAAGTTTTCACCTCTGTGCATTTGGATTTAAAGAAAATGTTTGCGTGGTTCGTGCAAAATAAAAGAAGATGTCGTTTTCCTTTCATTTTTATAATTGATGATGATATGTGGAAATTTTACATGAAATGAAAGGAACTTTCATCATTGTGACATTGCTGTATGAAATTGTAATAGCACTTGATCAGTGCTGTTTAGGTTGGGTGATCGGTTCTGCTGTGCTAATGTGCACGCGGCTTACGATGTTACACGTCCTACAAGACAATGAGTGATTAATGAACTCGTGAACCTTTGACTCTACTTACCTGTTGCATCTTTGACCGCTAATTTTTTCTTCCAATAGCTAATTATTCTCTTAACTTTTAAAAATGAGGTGGTTGCTTTTCATTATAATTGCTTAAGTCGAAATTATTTAAGCCGGGCATGTTTTTAAGTGTGTATAAATTGTATGTCCTATGGAAATATGTAAATAATAAGTGATTGGGTTATGAATCTTATGAAATGTGTGAATAAAGAATATGATTGATTATGGCTTAATGGTAAGATTGCTTAATGTTAAGATGATCAAAGAACAGAATTATAACGAAGAATTGCTCCAAGGTTCTTTAAGGGTTATAGTTGTATCGACTTGGTGAACATGCATCCTTGGGTCCCGTGATGCATAATATTAGAGTGATAGATCAATATGCTTGCTTGGATGAAATGATAATGAAAAAAAGAATAGTTCGTTCAACGAAATACGTAGATGATAAATGAATAGTGATTATGAAAGTGTGTTTAGTAATGTTTGACTTTGATTTCAAACTATAATGAGACTATAATTTTATTCAAATGAGCACAATATTTTTTTTAAACATCACTAATAATTTTAATATGATATGCAAAAATGTTGTGTTTCGAAAAAAAAAAAAAGATAAAAAAAAATTGAGGGTCACAAAAAATTTAACAAAGACGTTTACCGTCTTTTTATCATCGTTTCATTTTTTTTATTTTTTTTTACATGCAAAAAAGAAAGAAAACCATGTACATATCCGGGCAAGGAAGATGAAGTTGAAGAAATTTGAGAAAGATTCTGGTGAGTGGGAGTCTAGAGTCCATGAAACTGGCTCGGGTTTCAGCTTTTGGAGCTGTGAACGAGGGCAAGTGCTATCATGTGCGGTGGGGGAACGGGATACAATCTCTTGAAGGAGTTGGAGTATTAGAGGCAAGAATGGCTTGTCTGAAGCCAAGGGACAAATATCAGAAGTCCATATGATTATCTCTGCTGCAATAGAAGAGTTAGACTCTAGAAAGCGTATAGAGAAAGTGAGAAATGATTCCGACTCAGATCCAAATTTTCGCTCTGCTCTGAGTTCAATAGTTTGCGCTGAATTGTTCTTGAGTCGGGTAGGGTTGGAAGCTGCAAGTAGGAAAGTTTGAGGTGAGTTTGACTCGCTCCACTCATCCGAGTTGGGGAGTTCACATATCCATGACCATATATCCATATTTTCTTGGTGTAATATCCCCTTTCTCTTAAGGATTTTATTGTTTAAGATTCTTGAATATGGAGAAGAGTGCTGGGATTTATAGAGAGAATGAGTGATGCTAAGGTTGCCAACTTGAAATAAGATTTGTGGGTTCAAGGGAATCAAACTTTGTGGTTATGGATGAGACTTGTGTGCACCATTCGATTCTGCGGTTTTGGTCATTGGATGCATTAATTGCTTAGATAATACTAACATTCAAGGCTTATTTTTCTTCTTGAATTAATGTATTTATTCCCCGTTTTAGTATAATATAATTTTGGAGCGTTTGAGAAAAATCGGAAATTGAGGACCATAGCCAAATTTTCTTATTGTTTTCTTAATTTATATGATGTAAATTTGCAAGAAATCGAGTACAGAAGACTAGGGACATTGGATTTTTAGGAATTGTGGACCAAATCGTTCACAAGATCCGTTTTCAATGAAGTTTGGAGGTATTGTCATATAAGACACGGGATATATGGGATTTTTCGTAGTTATGGACGGAAACATACACATTGCCATCTTCTATATTTTTCTCGAGATTAAGTTTTTGCTTGGCTCCTAAATTATTTGATTGATAAATTGATTAGTCTGAATATGTGAAGTTTTCACCTCTGTGCATTTGGATTTGAAGAAAATGTTTGCGTGGTTCGTGCAAAATAAAAGAAGATGTCGTTTTCCTTTCATTTTTATAATTGATGATGATATGTGGAAATTTTACATGAAATGAAAGGAACTTTCATCATTGTGACATTGTTGTATGAAATTTAAATAGCAGTTGATCAGTGCTGTTTAGGTTGGGTGATCGGTTCTGCTGTGCTAATGTGCACGCGGCTTACGATGTTACACGTCCTACAAGACAATGAGTGATTAATGAACTCGTGAACCATTGACTCTACTTACCTTTGTTGCATCTTCGACCGCTAATTTTTTCTTCCAATAGCTAATTATTCTCTTAACTTTTAAAAATGAGGTGGTTGATTTTCATTATAATTGCTTAAGTCGAACATATTTAAGCCGGGCATGTTTTTTAAGTGTGCATAAATTGTATGTCCTATGGAAATATGTAAATAATAAGTGATTAAATTATGAATCTTATGAAATGTGTGAATAAAGAATATGATTGATTATAACTTAATGGTAAGATGATCAAAGAACATAATTATAACAAAGACTGCTCCAAGGTTCTTTAGAAAAATGTGAAATTTTCAAAATAACAATAAAATTGTCATACATTTCATTTTTGTTTGCAAGTTGAGAGCATTTTCAATAAATTCTCTATTTTTAAAGGACATATTCTATTATTTGGAGAGTATTTATAAATTTAGAGAGTTAAAATCTTGAAATGTTCCAACAAATTTTGTATATTTAACACTTAATTTTATTACTCTAAAGAAATATTTATTAATTTTCTCTATCTTTTTGTTTTATTTAACTTTTCTTTAAATTATTTTATTATTTTTCTATATTAAAAATTAAAATACTTTGAATGCATTTAATTATAAAAAGTGAGTTCGACCCACTCTCTAAATTAAAATGTTAATTTGAAGCATCATTTTAAAGGTTAACTCTTCAAAATAGAAAACATGTTATGTTTAAAGAATCTCTTGAAAAAATTCTAATACACACAATTGTTCCATTACCATAAAGTGTGCAAAATCTCAATATTGACTATTGAGCACTGAGAATAAGGAATGACGATCTTCGAGTACAACTTTCTTAGGTTTTGTATAATCTCTACATTTAACAAAATTACTGCCTCGAACATCTTTCAATCCCTAATAAGTTATAGACTTTTGAATTTCTACTTTTATTTATTTATTCTCGTAATGCAAGGAAATAGAATACTCCAACGAATGTTATTAATGAAATGACGTCCCATTTTCCCAAATTTTAAATAAATCACACATCCCCCGGATCTCTTTAGCTTTTGGACAACTCTTCATGGTATGTTTCAAGATCTCGTTCAACTAATATATAAAACACAATATGCATCTATTAATAATTTGCCCCCTTTGGCCCCCATTCTTGCCAAATTTTAATGGTTGGAATAGTATTTTTTTGAAAAATGTGTGGTTGAAAAAGAATGAAATTTATTTTTTATTTGCGTGTAATATTATTTTATGGAAGATTGTGTATTTGAAAATAAGAGAGAGAAAAAGAATGAAATGAGATAATGGGGGCTAAACGGGGGCAAAATTCTGCGAATGGAAGGTGTGAAAAATAACTTCAATTTACCAATCATTATCGTATTTGTTTGGTAGTATTTTTAAGTGTTTATCAATTATTAATAAATTGTGAGTATTAATTTTTTTAGCTTTCGTTTGAGTCACATTATTGTAAAAATAAGAATGAAAAATATAATCGCTATGAATCCCACACAATAGATAAAAAGTCAAATATGGTGACTTAATGTGATGGATAATGATTATATTTTTCATATTAATGAAGAAATAATGAGGTTCAAAGAGGGCATTAATTCATAATTTGCCAAATGCTCATAATTAGGTAAGACAAAAGAACATGCACCTATAACGTGTGGGTGGTATCCACTGGTAATGCGTTTTAGGCTGCGCCACGCAACGCAGTACCCATCCATTCACTTGCCTTTTTCTATATTTTGTGGCAAGAAACGTTGTTAATGTTGGAACTATAAATTTTTTTGTCCAAATTTATTATAATAAAATATGATCGAATAATTAATAAAAATTATAAATCTCATGAGATATACACTTAAAATTAGAGTTTAGTCAGTTAAAGCTCTAATTTTGAACCGGAGTTTAGGGGTCCGAACTGTCTCTTATAAAGCACGGTTTTCTCAGGCAAGTGCTGCGAAATCAGCATCCGTATAACTTATAGGTAGGAAAAGCCTGTAAATAAGGCTTTTTCCCTCTCAGTAACTCCCGTAACTCCATTTCAAGACATATAGAAAGAGAAAATATATGGGAACTTGGAAGGCAAGAATTATTCTTGGAAGGCAAGGTGCAACTTGGATTGGCTTGCTTGGCACTTTGTCAGACCAGGTGGGGAGCGCTCGGACCCTGGCCAGTTGGAGGCACATCCTGCGATTAACCGGACTGTGTGAAGAGGGGCCGGATCACAGACCCAAGGATTAGTCTAGAATAGGACACCTTGCATAAAATGTTTTGGAGATTATGGCAAAGAATGTGATTTGCAGATTGTGGAGAGTTCTGCTAAAATGGCTGAAAAATCTGGAGTTACATGCAGTGATTCATCCTCCACTTCTTCAACAAATTATGCACTGCCAAAATCCAAGAAGAGAGATGGGTCGGGTAGTGCAGAATTCACTCTGAACTCCGGCGTTAATTCCGGAGCTCTGGCAGGAACCCAGAAATACCGCAGGAAAACCAAGTCGACAAACTCAACTGTGATCTCCGGCCAATCGAAGGTCAGTCGAGACTAGAATTGCATGTAAAGGGAGACTAAATCTAAATACATTTACGTTGCTTAAATGCTTAACATTTTACAAGGTTTGGCAAAATATAGGAAAAGAAAGAGAAGCTTGGTGAAAGAATCACAGCGTTGCAGCAACTTGTGTCACCCTTTGGCAAAGTTTGATTCATTTTATCAATTTACAAATATTTTAATTAGTTTAATTATATTTTTCTCTTTACTCTTCCTTTTACACAAATCAAATTGTGGAAATACATTCTTGGAAATTGATTGCACAGACAGATACAGCATCAGTGCTTCATGAAGCAATGGGTTACATAAGGTTTCTGCAAGATCAGGTTCGGGTTCTATGTTCTCCATACATGCACTCTCTGCCTGTAAGTATTTTTATCACGCCTCAAATACGCATATAGACCTTGTTTGTGTGATTAAAAAGTTGTGAATCCTATAAAATATGTGATTAAATTTATTGATTGACTTTAACTTAGATTTTAATCAGGTTTTTAAGCGATACCAAACTGGCAGCACCTGATCAACCTTCCCATTAGCCTCTAGCTAACAACTTGAAGAGTGTTTGGTGCAGTCTAGTACTTCATGACCGTAGATCGGATAATATAATTGAGAAAAAAATTTATTTGTTTTGATTTTATTTAATACTGTTCAATATGGTCGAGCCTATGTTATAACGAAATTGTGCGGCATGGTACATGAACAACATCGGATCGACAATGTTAAAGCATCGCATCTAGACATCATTTATGTAAATTGTACATATATAGCAGACTTTTAATGATAAAATGAATCGGTTTGCATAACTGTATAATGATATCATTTTTTCATTGGATTCCATCTAATTTTCAGTTTTAACGTTTATGCAATATTTCCAGTTCATTTGACGTGTTAAAAAACTAAAGTTTAGAAATTAGTAATTTTGAGGGGAAAAAACAAATTCTAAAGTTCTATCAATGAGCTCAATCCTATCTATTTAATTGATCATTGCACTATTTTCTTGAAAGATGGTTTTGGACATGCAGGAGGACAAAGAAATGAAAGGGAAGAGTGAAACTGAAACAAGGAATGATCTAAGAAGCAAAGGGCTGTGTCTGGTTCCTGTTGAGTTAACCCTACATGTCGCAGACTCCAATGGAGCTGATTTCTGGTTATCTTCTATGATGAACAATAATGTTTTGTCAAACTAAAGACTCGCCTCTTCAGCTTTCTCTCTCTAAGTTGGACATGGCCAAGGATTTTGCTGAAAATTTTGCCCTTTTGACAATACAAGAAAACGATGAATTTTGGGTCATTTGTGGAAATGAAAATCCATTATGTTCGCCATTTTGTTCGGTTTATTCCTAGGTGTGTAATGGAAAATGAATGGTGAAATATGGAGTGAAAAAAAAAAAAAAAGAAATAGAAAAATCGACCAAATCGATGAAACCAAATAGAGTCAGATTGGTTTGGTTCAGTTAATTTTAATTATTAAAAAGTTGGATCGGATTGGTATCGGTTTAAACAACCAACCGATCCATCAATTAATCGGCCCAATCCTCTAATACATTTTTTTTTCATTCTAATATTCATATTTTTTAAACTTAAATAACAAAATAACCTAAACACAAATACAATTTTTTCTCCAATAATTTGTTTACCGTCTATACTTTTTCTACCAAAACTCCAAATATCAATAGGAAAAAAACTTGAAGAAGAAGTGTTAATGCAAACTTCAAATTTAGATTGTAATCTTACGTTTCATTTT